CAAAAGCTAAGGTGGAAGGCTACTCAAAAGTAAAGTTCACATTATTTACTTTCACATGGGTGAAATTTCATGCTACCAAAATGGAGAAAGTGAATTGAAAATATGGGGAACACATGATGTAGAAAATATTGTTTTACCATAAAAAAAGTTTGTTTCTTTTGGCGAAAACATTCCTCAATGTCTCAAAATTTTGCTTAGTGATATAGGATGGAAAAAAAATGATAAATAGTTTCTTGTAAGTTAATCGTTGATATCAAGAATTATTCATTCATTCATTCAGTCAGTCCTCATCTGGGTCATCTGGTGCTTGAGGCAAAACAAGGAGTTTCCATCTGGCTCTGTCAGCCGCTATCCTGGGGACAGTCTCAAGGGACAGTCTCTTACTCCTGAGCTCCTTTTCTATTATTTTCTGCAGGTTTCTCATGGCCGACCTCGGTTTCTCCTCCCTTGAGGCGTCCAATATAATGATCTTCTTTGGAGAGAAGATGATGGCATGCGGCACACATGTCCCAGCCATCTCCATCGTCGGATTCAGATAGTTTCTTTAATTGATGTTGTTGCTGTTCTTTCCCGGAGGTTTTCATTTGAAAGATGGTGTGCATGCTACGTAGGCACTTATTTTGGAACATTTCTAACTTTCTTTCGATGAAGGAAGTGGTTTTCCAACACTCTGAGCCATATAGAAGGCTGCTCAGGACATTGCTCTTGAAAATCCTGATCTTTGTGTGGATGCTAAGTTCAGTGGATCTCTAGATAGATTTTAGTATGGCAAAGGTTTGCTTTGCTTTGCTGATTCTAGCATTAACCTCAACATCACAGTCACCATTTGCTGTCAATTTGCTGCCCAGATAGACAAAGTCCTGCACTTCCTCTGTTGGGTTACCATTCACAGTGATTGGGATTGTCGTTGCAGTGTTGTTTCTTAGGACCTTTGTCTTCTTTTCGTTGATTGTTAGGCCAACAGTACTGGCTGTCTGGCTGAGGCTATCATTCTTTTGCTGTGCATCTTGGTACTGGTGTGAAAGTAATGCTATATCAAGAATTATTATTGTAACAATATTTTTAGTTGCGATTCAATAATGACATTTTATTTTGTGCATCTTATTTGATAGATTGACAGTAAACAAAAAAACATAACATACCTTGACTATATATACTACGATGATTAATTACAAAATATTGTCACTTTATCTGTTAAAATATGCACAAATTTAACACATGCATAGCACTCGACTTTAAATGGATGTTTATTTTCATTATCAGGTGAAAACTGCTAAAACAGAAGAAGACAAAGCTTTGTTCAGAAGACAAAGTATCTATTATCTAGAGAGATATATTTATCTGATATTATTTAATACATATTTGCATATGGAAAGAATTGATAACTGGGAGAAACCATTTACACATTGGGTGGAGGAGGTGAGTTTATGAGGGGAAACTTATAATAACCTTTATCTATTGATTCATTTACCATTTCCTTATCCAAATTCTGATTTGCCAATACTATTTAAATTTGTTAATGTTTTTAAATATTTTATATTAATTATTAATCTTAATTTGTGTTCAGAGCTCATAAACATAACTATTAGAAACCACATTCGTTGTATGAGATTACAATCACCTTATTATTATTAGTCCCTGTTCAGACGTAGTCCGAAAACGTGGACTTATGTTTTGACATGTTTTGACATGTGTCCATGCGTCGGTGTGTCTGTGCGTCCGGACCTGTATCTTAGAAATGCCTGGACCAATCACGATCAAACTTCACACATACATCATACATGATATTATACATATGTACGTCAATTTGTTTCACGATCTCATTCAAGATGGCCGAATGGCGACCATTTTTGTCCTAAAAATTCCTAAAAATCAAGCATTTCTCGGCTGTTTACAGATGGATTTTGTTCAAACTTGGTATATACATTAGACATTATGGGACCTTGATGCAAATAATTTTGTTTTTCAGATAATTAATAATGGCCGACTGGCGGCCATTTTGTATCAATGAATGTGGTTCTCGTGCCATATCTCTGACTTGCTTTCACTGATTATGTTCAAATTTTAAATATTTATTATACATCATGTCGTACATAGACAGATATATTTGTTTGAGATCCTATTCAAAATGGCCAAATGGTGGTCATTTTTGTGCTAACAAATATCAAGCATTTATAGGTGGATTTCATTCAAACTTGGTACATACATTAGACATTACGGGTTCCTGATGCATGTCATTTTATTTTTCAGATTGGATTCAAAATAGCTGATTGGCGGCCATTTTGTTTTAATGATTGGGCTGCTAGAGCCATATCTCTTAAATGCTTTGACTGATTATATTTAAATTTTATATTTTCGTTATACATCATGTTATATATATACATGTATTCAAAATAGCTGATTTTGAATGCTGTTCCAGAGCAATGCCTCTCAATATGGACAAGTACTTGTTTGACGATCAGATACAAATGTCAATCATTTTAATGTTTAAAAATCATATTCCTGACATGGTTATATTCCAGCTATTGTCACACGCAACGTAATATTACCATAATTGGTATGGTAGTGCAGGTGTGATGGTTCAAATACCAAAATGGCAACAGTAACAAAAAGACTTCCCTGGCGGCGATGATAAAATACGAACACGGAGCCAACAGATGAGGTTTCAACTGGTACTGGTATTATTATACTCTGCAAACATCAAGTACAATAACGCGGTAAAACTCCACTACTCCAATAACTAGATACTTAAACTCCAATACAATTCAACGAGATCTCTCATCTGAACTCAGTGCTGAACAACTCCCCTATATATACCCACACTGTCTATAAATAAATCATTACATCAGCATACATAATGAGTCTGGAATTTACTACAAATTTCTAGAATATTCCATTACCTTCTATTGCCTTCTACAGTGTTCTATTACCTATTCAACCAGCTTCTAAAAATTCCACCCAGACACAGTACGGTTCTAGAACATCCTCAGTCACACGGAAGTGGTAAACAAGTCGTATGCGACAGCTATATTACTATAAACAAAACTATATATCTTAAATTTGATAACTAACAGGGACTGACCATGCACGGCTTGTAAATAATAATTCCTCTTCATCCATTTCTTTCCCCACTTGGGTCACATAGACATATTATGTCACCCAGGAATCATTTACTCTACCTAGGCCACTCATTTGATTATGTCACCCAGGAATCATTTACTCCACCTAGGCCACTCATTTGATTATGTCACCCAGGAATCCATAACTCTACCCAGGCCACTCATTTGATTATGTCACCCAGGAATCCTTTACTCCCCCGCAGCCACTCATTTAATTATGTCACCTGAATCCTTAACTCTACCCAGGCCACTCATTTGATTATGTCACCCCGGAATCTTTTACTCCCCCAAAGCCACTCATTTAATTATGTCACCTGAATCCTTAACTCTACCCAGGCCACTCATTTGATTATGTCACCCAGGAATCTTTGACTCCCCCGAAGCCACTCATTTAATTATGTCACCTAAATCCATGACTCCACCGAAGCCACTCATTTAATTATGTCACCTGAATCCATGACTCCACCCAGGCCACTCATTTAATTATGTCACCTGAATCCTTAACTCTACCCAGACCACTCATTTGATTATGTCACCCAGGAATCATTTACTCCACCTAGTCCACTCATTTGATTATGTCACCCAGGAATCCATAACTCTACCCAGGTCACTCATTTGATTATGTCACCCAGGAATCCTTTACTCCACCGAGGCCACTCATTTAATTATGTCACCTGAATCCTTAACTCTACCCAGGCCACTCATTTGATTATGTCACCCAGGAATCCTTTACTCCACCGAGGCCACTCATTTAATTATGTCACCTGAATCCTTAACTCTACCCAGGCCACTCATTTGATTATCTCACCCAGGAATCCTTTACTCCCCCGAAGCCACTTATTTAATTATGTCACCTGAATCCTTAACTCTACCCAGGCCACTCATTTGATTATGTCACCCCGGAATCTTTTACTCCCCCAAAGCCACTCATTTAATTATGTCACCTGAATCCTTAACTCTACCCAGGCCACTCATTTGATTATGTCACCCAGGAATCTTTGACTCCCCCGAAGCCACTCATTTAATTATGTCACCTGAATCCTTAACTCTACCCAGGCCACTCATTTGATTATGTCACCCAGGAATCCTTTACTCCACCGAGGCCACTCATTTAATTATGTCACCTGAATCCTTAACTCTACCCAGGCCACTCATTTGATTATCTCACCCAGGAATCCTTTACTCCCCCGAAGCCACTCATTTAATTATGTCACCTGAATCCTTAACTCTACCCAGGCCACTCATTTGATTATGTCACCCCGGAATCTTTTACTCCCCCAAAGCCACTCATTTAATTATGTCACCTGAATCCTTAACTCTACCCAGGCCACTCATTTGATTATGTCACCCAGGAATCTTTGACTCCCCCGAAGCCACTCATTTAATTATGTCACCTGAATCCTTAACTCTACCCAGGCCAATCATTTGATTATGTCACCTAGGCATCCTTTACTCCACCAAGGCCACTCATTTAATTATGTCACCTAAATCCATGACTCCACCGAAGCCACTCATTTAATTATGTCACCTGAATCCATGACTCCACCCAGGCCACTCATTTAATTATGTCACCTGAATCCTTAACTCTACCCAGACCACTCATTTGATTATGTCACCCAGGAATCATTTACTCCACCTAGGCCACTCATTTGATTATGTCACCCAGGAATCCATAACTCTACCCAGGTCACTCATTTGATTATGTCACCCAGGAATCCTTTACTCCACCGAGGCCACTCATTTAATTATGTCACCTGAATCCTTAACTCTACCCAGGCCACTCATTTGATTATGTCACCCAGGAATCCTTTACTCCACCGAGGCCACTCATTTAATTATGTCACCTGAATCCTTAACTCTACCCAGGCCACTCATTTGATTATGTCACCCAGGAATCCTTTACTCCCCCGAAGCCACTCATTTAATTATGTCACCTGAATCCTTTACTCCACCGAGGCCACTCATTTGATTATGTCACCCAGGAATCCATAACTCTAACCAGGTCACTCATTTGATTATGTCACCCAGGAATTTTTTACTCCACCGAGGCCACTCATTTAATTATGTCACCTGAATCCTTAACTCTACCCAGGCCACTCATTTGATTATGTCATCTGAATCCTTAACTTCTACCCAGGCCACTCATTTGATTATGTGACCTGAATCCATGACTCAAACCAGGTCACTCATTTGATTATGTCACCTGAATCCTTAACTCTACCTAGGCCACTCACTTGATTATGTCACCTGAATCCACCCAGGCCACTCATTTGATTATGTCACCTGAATCTGTGACTACACCCAGGCCACTCATTTGATTATGTCACCTGAATCCTTAACTCCACACAGGCAATTCATTTGATTATGTCACCCGAATCCATGACTCCACTCAGGCCACTCATTTGATTATGTCACCCAGGAATCCTTTACTCCACCGAAGCCACTCATTTAATTATGTCACCTGAATCCATGACTCTACCGAGGCAACTCATTTGATTATGTGACCTGAATCCATGACTCAAACCAGGTCACTCATTTGATTATATCACCTGAATCCGTGACTCCACCCAGGCCACTCACTTGATTATGTCACCTGAATCCACCCAGGCCACTCATTTGATTATGTCACCTGAATCTGTGACTCCACCCAGGCCACTCATTTGATA